TAATTAGTAGCGGCATCCGCAGCGCTGGCTGTGGCTGAACTGAAGCTTTACTGTATTGTATATGCTGCGAATGTTGCTGCTGTGCTTGCGCCTGCGACTGCGCGTGCGGGTAGTGGTTGTGCGTAGTTTGTTGCTGTTGTTGTTGCTCACGCTCCCGTTGCTGCTTGTGCTGCTGTAGTTGCAGCTGCTGGCTATCCTGCTGTGTATCCCGCTGCCTATAGTTGGGTTCACGCTTTGGTAGAAAATAATCATTGGAGTTCATAAATTTTATATATTCCTCAGCTTGTTGTTCGCTTGCAGTGGTGTCAGGATTTGCTCGTTGACTCTGCTGCTGTAATCTTTGATACTGTTGCGATAGTTCCTCTGTACGCGCGGTAGGCGGATAGTTCGCGTGTGGATGCGCGTACGCTTGCTCCTCTTCAGCCAAATCGTTGTGTTCGTACACCGCATATCCGGCGCTACCTGGCGGTGGTTGCTCATGCTTTACATGTGGATGGAGGACGGGTTCCTCGTGCGGGCGCATCGTTTCGTAGTGAAACGTTGGCGCGCGGTTGGCAGTTTGTTTCAGCGCAGACTGGTAGAGTGTAGGGAAATGTGAGGTGCTCTGTTGCTGCTGCTGCTGCTGCTGGTGTTGCTGATGTTGTGGTATGGGATATTGTTGCACCATTTGCTGTGGTTTGCCTGCATACTGCTGTAGTTGCTGCAAATGTTGCCTGTAGTTTGGATCGTGCGGCTCGAGTAGCGGTCGCACAATCGCCTTGCCGCTGAAGAGTGGCGATGCTTTGAAATTATATTCCCCAAAATGTGTCTGTGGCTGCTGTAGCTGATGCTTAGTAGCTTGAACAGTCGCAGCGGACTGTAGCACTAAGGAGTTTGGATGCGTTTGCTGTTGCGCGTACGTGAATGGCGGGCGATAAACGCTCACTTTGCCTGCATTGAATGGCACTAAACTCTTAGAAGGCAAATGGTTTTGGCCGCCTTTGGGCGTATCGTAGGCAAAACGCGGTGGCGCGCCATTTACGGGTAGTCCATTTTGGACGCGACGCATAATTGGCGGGCGCACCTTGTGGTAAGCAGAAGGTGGCGCCGCCGCGGCGGCATGCGGCTGTAAAGCACGACGGTAGGGGAGGCCTGCTGGTGGTAGATGGTCAGCGCGCGCGATTACACGCTGCGTTGCGGCATGGTAGCGCTGAGCGGCAAACGCCTTGGGGTCCCGAAGGACCTTCATGAGACGCGCATATCGAGTGCTATCGCCTACAACTGGCGCGGCGGCGGCGGTGGTAGTTTCGACAACCGCTGGCGCTTGAGTTGTTGAGGTGGGAGTTTTCGTTGGTCTTTCTGTGCGTTCGAACTCATTTTCACAATGCACAAAGCCACATAGCAAAAAAGGTGCCAACACGAGCACCGTTAAATTCACTTTTAATATTTTCATATTTTCTAGTTTGTGTGCTTTGTATGCAAATATTTTTGTTTATTTATTTTTACTTAAACTTATTGAATACTCGATTTAATAAAATTTCTAATTTTCAATTTTTTAATTATTTTTCAATCAAATCGACATATGCATTTTTAACTATCGAATCCATTTATTTGCACACTGTGCTTCATTATTATATCCAATTTAAACCACAAATTGCGTATTTCACGCCTTCACACTTGCTAATAAATTCTTTTCCACGCTATAATTATACTCCAATCTGTTGCTCTTTTAGCACAATCACTATGTTAATCATTGCTTTTCTTTTTTCCAACGTAATGTATTCACTGTTAAATCCTTTTTGTCGTATTAATCATCTCCGCGTATTTCGTCTGTTCACCACCGCGTTGAAATCACATTTAAAACTTTGCTTAATCGTCGCGCATGCGCTGAGTGTCGATGTTCCTGTGTCTAGGTTGGTTTGGCTCGCTGCTACTTTTACGAAAACTGGTTACTGCTCTTTCTATTCTACGTATTCCTTTGTTGCATTTCTTTTCTCAAACATCTATACCATTGCAAGTTTTGTGGCTTCTCGCATTGAATTGTGGTAAACTTGGTAAGCACGAGCCAATCTGGAAAAGTATAGGCTTTCGTTTGATGCGACTGGCTTTGTACGTAAATACGAGTGTAAATATATGTATATATCTATATAAATACATACATACACAGGTGTCTTCATTTAGGTATTTTAATTACATACATTCATATGTAAGTATGTAACTTTGTATGAATTTGTGTTGTCAGCAACAAAAGTTTCGGTTGTGGCTGAGCGCGTTGGGGCTACTGTGCCACAGTTTTCATATTTACATATGTAAGTATGCAAATATGTATGAGCAATCTTGAAGTGATATTAGCACAGTGCTCAAAAAATAGAAGACGAAGGAATAAAACGCACCTCACTCCTCCACCTGAGGGCAGTACCTACCTTGATCTCTTACGCTTATGACTTCTATTTTGGCGTCGTTGGTTACTTGTGTCTAAAAGTGAATGGTTATCTCTCAGACCTTTTCAGATTTTGCACTGCATGAAACTTAAGACTTTCTCTAATGAAGTCAGTGGCCGCAACGATCGTAAATAATGCGAAAATTTTGGAGGTTAATTTTGACAGCATGCACTTTGTCTAGGCGCAGACAATCGCAACTGCGAGTAAAGTACAGAGCAGCAGCACAGGACGATAGGCCAACCGATTCTAAAGTACGCTAATAAAAGAACTTATTTAGTAAGGATAGGTTAGCGGGCTGCATCCGTAGGACAAGGCACACTTAGACATGAATCAAACTGTGCGTTGTGTTGACCTTAAGTGGAGACGGGGAAAAGTTAGAATCCCCACCAATAGCAAGTGGTGTAACTTCCTGAGTCTCAAGAGTTCGCCGGACGCGCGCCGCCGCTCTACACGTGGCCAGAAGGATTTAACTAGCTTGCATTCCAAGGTGTTCACCTAACGCTCACTGAGCTGACTAACCGCCGAAGTAGACCGCTGCCCCCAGACCTTCTCTATATGCGAGCACTTTCTCAAGAATGGTTTTCTGTTTTGCCTGTTCATCGGCCATGCAGTTTCCAGCGAATTCGCTGTGAACCGGAACCCAAATAAGTTTAATAGCGAGGTAATACAATGCGATCGATGACGCAGTCAAACAATCTGTCACCATTCTCGAACGAACCGGCTAGCAGTCAAGAGCCTTTATAGTTACTCTTGGCTGTCAGAATGAATATGCACCGCCCTAAAAGGTATTACACTAGAGGGAAGCCAATCAGAAGCATCCTTTTTTGCTGCTAGCTCTGCTTACGTAACAGTGCATGCTGCGGCTATGTGGTCATCAGGAACTAGTAGGAAGCAGTGGACGAAACTTCAGTTGTTTCAGAATGCCGCACTTAGGATTGCCTATGCAAGCCTTCTTGTGTCGTCTGAACATCAGTTTCACAGCGAGGTCCAAATGCACCTAGTTAGGAAGCAGATAAAGTGACTCAAACTAACTCATCTACAACCTCTACGAAACCGTCAGTTACATGGGATTTAGCGATTTCTACGGAACCCTTGGGTAACTTTCCTACGGAACCCTTGGGTTCCGCGGAACGCACTTTACGAAGCTCTGAGGTATAAGACTAGAAAGTTGAAGATGAAAACCTAGTTTTTAAGGCGCAACATACGTACTTCCACTATGCAGAAGTTCAATCACAGAGTCGACGGACGACAATCGGAAAAGGACCAAAATGTTTAATGCAGTTTGCCAAAGAGGAGGAAACCTTCATCAACATCGTCTCAGGTTGGTTGGGTGGAATTTGAGACTTATAAACATTTTTGAAAACACGGTCTATGCAGTATGCGGTCTACGTGTGGCATTCATTCGACAGCCAGCACCACCTAAACTAAACTTAAGCAACAGTAAAATTTGCGGCATTTTCTCCGGAGTAAAGGGCACTCGTAAAGGACGGATTATATCTCTTCTTCATCTCTTAGCTACTGCAGAAATTCTTATACGGCGCTCCGAACACGGTGCATATGGGACCAATGGCCTTGTATTCCGTTACTATTCCAAGGAGAAGCCCAACGTTGGGCTTTGATAGCCTTAGCAAATTCCTAGTTTTTCGTTCATCCAGCCATGACCAGAGCGATTACAGAGCATGATTCCGCTAAGGTGTGCAGATTTTTACTTTTTTTTTTCTTAATATTACGAAAAATTTATTCAATTTAAGAAGTTTTTCCTTAATTCAGGTTCCTGCTAAAAAGAGGGCGTCATTAGTTTGAGGAAGTAAATTTACTCAATATAAGTAATAATTTCCTCAATATAAGTAATAGGTTCCTTAAAAATTTTTGAATTTTGTCAGTACTGTTAAGGCAAAGTTAATTGGTTTCCTGGAAAATGTCGGCTGTGGCGTCGCGTGACTGTTTTGGTTCTGAGATCGCAGGCTTGAGTACGGTTGGAGGTGGTTAGAGTAAGGTAAGTCAATTATTTCAATTTAAATATAAATTCCAACCATCAAGGAATTTTGTTTTCTGAATGTACAATAGCGATTTGCATATTTACTCCACTATGCGAGATTTTAAGTTGTGATTAAATTTTTTTCAATATTGAGCTTCATTTCATAGGTTCAATCAAATCTACATGCGTATGAACGTATGAAATTGATGAATATGTACATAAGTCTTTTATTATAGAGGAAAAGGCATCGATATGTATTTTTTTTTTGATGCTAGTAATTTTGCGGCACTTACTGCTTTGCTTTCTTAATTCGATCAATGTTATTAAATAATGATAAAATTCAAAAGAGTTTGTTCGCAGGTACCAGCATACAAATGCGTGCATGTGTCCAAGAAATGAATGAAAAATGAAAGGCATGTAGTAAAAGAAATTGGCTCAACTTCCTGCTTCATTCCAATTGCTCAGCTGCAGATCGGGCAATTTGAGAATTTGATCATTTTCATAGACAAATCACCAACTGTGCAAAGATTTAAAAGCCACACATCCGCAGCTGTGAGCTAAAAATACAAATTTTAATAATGCAAATATGCACATACATACCTACATAAGTATGTGTGTATGTACTTCTAATATAGCACAGTGATCAGTACGTAAGATATTGCTGGTAGAAGACTAGCGGCGTTAACTTTCTTTTTCTTTCCAGATTTTATTTAAGTTTTGCTTTTTTCTTACGTTGATCTAAACTTTTAGTGCTACTAAATTAAACGCTTGCTAAATTGAATAAGCGTCCGGCGTAGTGTATTGCCGGTGTCAACTGGTGATTAGACGTAAGCCAAATTAGCTGCAATGCCTAGTTAGCCATCAGCAGGTGTATAAAGCCACTTTTTTGTGTACATACATATGTACATAAATATGTATATGTGTTACATATGTATGTACATCATCTCATTTATTTGGAATTTCATTCAATTAATTGAACGATATTTCTGCAGCTTCACTGTCCCAGCTCCAACTTTACTTAACATCATTGTTTCCACTTGAATGGTCTTCAACAGCATTTTTTTTTGTGTCCGTTACAAAAATCGAAAAACTTGTCTAGAAAAGAAGTTTGCAGCAAGAAGTGTGAACACTCGAGTGGCAGCCAAACTTGTTTTCTCCTCTGCTCCACGCTTGTGGCATTGACTGTTGTGCGCTGACATGCTTCATTTGGTCCATGCTAAGCTGGTTTTTGAAGTTTTCTTTATTGATTTTTTCGCGGAAGCTAAAACATTACCACATAACGGTTTTTCTATGCTGCTATGCTGCTGGCTATGTATGGACAATTTGCCACTTTGCTGTTAAAATAGAATTTATGTATGGTTTCAATTGAATGGCGCTGATAGCGAAACTGGGCATAATTTTCGACATTTATGCCGTTTTTTTATAAAAGTTTTTCATATGCAATTGAAAAGTAATAAATTTAAATATTTATTAGTTTGTCTTAGTAAGCGATTGTAAAGTTTTATGAATTTGTTGAGAAAAGCGTCGTAAAATTGAAATACGAGGATCGCTAAGCAAGTCTATAGAATTCGCAACATCGCCTTGTAAAATTTGTAATTTTTTATAGCATTACTGTGCTCTGGCTTAAAGATTAGGCCTTCCAAATTCCATGTGCTCAGCAAGGCTAACGTAGAGCCACTTAACAGGTGGATTCGAGGACAGAAATTAATGTGTAAAGGCTTTGGAAGAGAGTCTCCTAATCGGCAGAGGCAGGCTTCCCGGTGGTCCGCGCGAAATATGGAGAAAACAGTCGATCGGGAGGCGAAGAATCTCGGGTTAAGCTAAAAGAAACTCAAAGCGATTGCCAGAAATAGAACAAAATGGCGCGCTGTATATGTGTTGAGATCAGTTCCAGTTTTGGTTTAGTTCTGCATGAGAACAAAATGTAATGTCGAGAACATTGCCACAAAATAACTAAACGAGAACAACAGTATTAAGAAAACTGTAAAAAACAAAATGCGAACAAAACTCTCGGGAACGTTTCCAATGAGAACCAAATGAGAAAGAAAGTATCGAGAACATTTTTAAGGAGGATAAAAAAAAAACAAAAGTC